AAGGGAAATTCTTTTTCGAGTGGTTGTAAAACTTTCTTTGGCAACGGAGCTGAACAGAAATTCGGATGAATTTAACAGGCAATCATTCTGAGTCAATGGCAGGAGAGAATTGTAGACGGAGCCACCGGACTGAAGTGGAACTACATCCTGAAATCCTAGACAATAAACACGATGTATCAATAAATGTGACGCGGAGATTCGTAAAAAGCCTCAAAAATCTGAGGTTTCCGGCGTCGTATGACCAGTGCAGCGCGACGAGTGAATGGGCCACTTCCCTATCCGACGTAGGCCAAGTGGAAGAAACTTTTCCCCTAGGGTGGTATCGGAGATTCTGAAGTTGAGAAACCTCGGGAAATGCAAAATAGTATGGTTGAATAGAGAGGTCTTTGTGAAAATTAATACTACTTCGAGATCTTCGAACCCTAATTATAGTGTAATTATTTGGAACTTGGAAGAATCCTAGGAAGGAGACCCAGACTTTTGACATGCTAATTGCCTCGGAGCAGTTGGACCATTATTCGTGGACTGATTCCCAAAAGCATCAAATGTAAGCCGTATAAGATAGGCCATCAGAAAAGGCAGATGAAGTGCTGATGCTACGGGAAACTCTTTATGACTTTCGAAAATGTTGCTGGGTAAAGAGATGGAGAAAAATATCACCCCCAACGCCAAATTTTGGATCATGTCGCCCAAACCTCTATCTATAAGTCAAATGAACAAGCTGGTGTTTCAGAATGCCGAGCGGATACGTATATTTTAGGAATAAGCTTCTGGAATCAAGAGTATTATCTGAGAGACTACAACTTGACGTTATTGCTATTACTGAAACATTGTTGTTCTTAGGTGTGAAACTCATCGTAGTCATATGCAGGTATGTCTGCATTAGTGCAGACAGAATGGAAGTAGGGTTGCCCTGGAAATCCGAAATGACATAGAAACTAGTTCAACAATATCAGGAACGCACAGTAATTGTACTGGTGTAGCTGCAAGTTGTGTTATTAACCTGAACGAAAGTACTGTAACGATCAGGGTTATTATCGAGGCCCAGCCAGCCGAGCTGGTGATGTGATACTAAATCACCTAAAGTTGAGGAGTAGCAGAAGTAAATATCTAACATTGGGTGACTTCAATGCCCCATATATTAACTGTGAGCGTTTAGCACCAACCAGCTTCCAAACCTGTTCTAACAGCGAAGTTATACTGACTTTCGTTTAATGAGTACTTGTGCAGCATGTACTTGCACCAATACGACACGACCGTGAACATGGTGTATGCACTCCGGACTTAGTGCTAACATGGCAAATGGAAGATGTAAGCAACGTTAGGTGTTTCCAAGTGATGGGAAGTAGTGACTGCGTATGCATTGCTTTTGCATTTAATATTATTAATTTTATACATCGGTCGACATATGGTTGTCCGAACAGTCAGCAGCGAATATATCACTAGATCGGAACACAGCGAACCTAGCTGAATGGTCATTTAATACAACAGGGCTGCCGAAGAAGGTTGGGTGAGAGTTATGGAATACACTAGATTGTATCACTTCACCTTTTGTGCCTTGATCAACGCCTTGAAATCTAATGTCAAAACCACCTTGTATTATCAGTGGAATAAGGTTATCAATAGTACCGGTTTACTGTATAATGGAGAGTGAGTTTCACATGGAATACAGAAAACTTCAGAAACTGTGTAGGAATAGGGCTGATAAAAGTCATATAGAGTACGAGAGACGGTTAGTACCCGACAGTGTACGTTATAGCAAAAGACTGTAATCGTACATTAAACGTAGGACGGAAATCAGAAGTGGTATACCGCCACTGGAAAACTCTACTGAAGAAGCGGTCGAATAGGATAGAACAAAGGCTGGAAACCTCTCTGAATAATTTTATAATGTCTCATAATCTGATCGTACCACGAAGGGGTTTAGCAGGTTCACTGCCATCACCACTAAAATGTCCTTAATTGTGGCAAATAACTCAGTGGTACTCAAACTGCTGTCCGAAATGAAACTGTTTTAATCACCTGGACCCGATGGACTTCATTCTAAACTGTTGATTTGGCGGATATAATACACATTACACCGACTCAGATTTGTAAAAGATCTCTGACCTTGTTAATGCGCAGACGATATTTCTATATCTCTTTATATGTTACACAAACAGACTATTTAGCAGACTGCTCCGACTGACTCTAATGTCAGAAAGAACAACCAATCTGACCGATCAAGTAGTATCACTCTCATCGATGAATGCTTTAGGAAGAAATTAGATCTCTGCATATATATATATATCAAAGATCAGCACATGCCTCAAGAGTCTACTTTTCTTTTATCTGAGTCTGAAAATTACTCGACTCCACGTTTCGTGAAGTTCTGCTTCGGGAAGTTTCAGAAAGCTAATGCTGTGTTGGAGTGCAACGTTACTAGGGGTAGGGAGTTCTGTAAGGAGATTGAGTTTCAGTTTCCCATCGTTCAGATTCAAGAACCTAAGTGAAAAGGTAGAAATCCCGTAACATGAATATAATTTAAGGTCATGATTTAACTTTAGCAGTTTTTCTTGATTATATGTACTCTTTAAAAGTTAGACAGCGTTCGTCACTGATAATTAACTCAATTTCTGTGTTATTGCTGCGTCATTAACAGAAACTTTCGTAGACCAGTTCAAAGCTATTTTGTAGTTTTTCCCTTATTGTATTATTCGTTGACCCCATCATAGATAGTGTACACGTAGCCTTTCATAATTATGGTGTATGGTACCAATGATTTGTTTTCTTGAATCAAACCTCAAGGGCTGCCAAAGACTCGGTCACGTGACTTTAGTGTGGATTGGCCACCCGAAGATTGCTGGCACCTCAAGGTTGTCCGCTGTTTCGGTTGCGTAAGCCACCCACCTTCTGTGTGCTTGGAAAGTGATTGGTGTACAGACAAACAGCCTTGTCGTTCTGGTGCGTATACGATTGTAATGTTTTGGGACGGCAGTCACTTCATAAACTCAGTTTACGGAACGACAACAACCATATCCTTTGGGTGACTTGATTAACTACATATTTGTATTACAACAAAATTCAAACCAGGATTCTAATACACGAGTGACACTGTAAGTGACCATTCATAATCTACTTTTTATATAGTGTAAATCTGTAGCATTTCGACATAAAAACATAAATGCGCATGTCAACAGTTTAATTATTTTAGGAATATTCGACTAGCAGTAACTTCAGCTCATTAATTTGGGTGGCACACGAAGTCTCGCCTAATTCCTGATTTTTGGATACTAAAGAGATTCTGGGTTTGTAAGGTATAAACCACACGGTTTCTGTCGATTTTCAAACACTTCGGGCCCACTTGCACTTATCTCAAAGTCCTGTGGAAAATTCAAGTTTCAAACGCTTGGTGAAATCCATTGCTTACGGTACAGCGGTAGGTGGAGTTGTAACGATTTATTTGTACATTTATAACTTTGTGCACAAGATTCAAAAAATACTGAAAATAAAAAAATACTCTGAACTCCTACATTCACCGTTTAACTAGAATTCTCAAGGCAGTTGTATTGCTGGCTGTTAGCGTTATAACGACAATAAGGTGTTCCATTATCCCATATCCTCCAGCTCTCGGGCAGGAGTGGGTTAATAATGATTGGCACTGAAAGGTGTACTCTCCAAACTATCATTCAGCGGCATATTTTGTGTCTGAAACACTCATACAAGTCAGAAGCACAGTTATTCATTTAACGCCTCCTGGCAAACACGGTTAATCTACAAAATTCAATTTGTTGGTGTCTGCAGATGCTTCGGCTAGATCTTTCAAACTTGATGGTGTAAGAATAGCATTGGGCGCTATTTGGTAGACTTTAATTGAGCAGTTGTTTGAGTGCTGCTCGGCTTAATCGATCTGTAAGAACTAGCTGTGATACCTATCGATACGCCTTCATGATTGCTTATACACTAATCAGCTGGCATTAGTTGTGATTGTCCATTTAACCATCAGTTCCTGGTCAGCACTGATAACTACCCACATAGTCGACGGTTGAAACAAATAGATCTAGCTATCAGTAATAAGTGGGAAGGGGTAAAGGAAGTTTTCCGTTGCTTTCAGAACACCTGTTTGTGAGCTGGAAGCCTGAGTGAGTGTGCATTGATCATGTCCTCATCCTCCGACAAGTTTTTCAACATAGAACTGCTTATTAGAATTCGATACTCACTATATATTTTTGATTTGGTGTCGAAATTGGATTCGGTCGATCGAGAGGTGTTGTAGTGATTTTCGTCTATGAAGAGAGTGATTCGAAGGTATATTGTATTAAAAAGAGAATTGTACTCTAACTGGTTGAGTCGTATTAGAGCTTGTTCGGAGTTTCTATTTGAAGTGTCTTTAAACAGTAGTGTTTTTCAGAGATGTTCACTATCACTATTTATAATTTCATTATTGGATATGAGCCTTTCTGTCGATGGTGCCCCAGGTGTTGATATTTTACCTGGACAATTTTGTTGCTTTGTATTATGCAGATATTGTTCTTTCAGGTGAACACGTTGACAAAATACATACTCTGTGAACAATCTGAGTGTGTTTGTCATCTCATCTCCATCAAATGTAAGATAATGATGCAGTTGTTTTTTGTCTAGGGATCGATGGTGGAGTGTTTGAGGGTGTTAACCACTCCACTTATTTGTGAGGTTGTTTCGATTGTGATGGTTTGCTTTTTGACGAAATGTAAGCTTGGATAGAAAATACCCGTTTTGCATTTGTTGACTATTCAGCATTTCTCCCTGTTCAGTCGTTCAGCGGCGTGACATGGCTATTAAAAGTGAGGATTACAAAGGTACCAGAGGCTTCTGTTTATAAGTGCCTCTGTCCACTCTCATATTTTATGTTTGAGCAGCTGCACCCAATGGGTGTTGATTTTCGGTGTCATGGATTTACATCTTGTTATTATTTAGAACCCGAGAATTTTTACTAGTCGTGAATTAGTTGTTACCATTCCTAGGGATTTTGATCCATCTTTGTTTCAATGTGTTCCTTTACTCTATCTTTATTGTAGTGTTTTGTAGTAGTGTAGTGTTTTTCAGAGATGTTGGCTATCACTACATATATTTAAGTTCATCGATTGATGTTACGCTTGCCGAGTTTGATGTTCCAGGGATTGACTGTTGACTGGGAGGTTTGGAGTGGATGGCTGTCTTTGGCTATATATGTTTGCAGTGAATTTTTGTTGGCAAGTACTCTAATGTGGCTAATAGGAATATGGTTGTGCGAAGAGGATTAGGTGAGGAGCAAAGTCAGTCAACAATGTGAAGTTGCACTTATTGAAATGAATGTGTCACGCATGTCAAGGCATATTCGTCGATAAGCAGTGTTGAAAAAAACTTTTAATACGGTCAGATAAAAATATGGGACAAATACATACAGTCTTTCACTGTTGGTTTGAGTCATGTGGATAGTGGCACGCTACTTGATTGGTTCTTCAGGACTCTAGGAATCAACGGTGAGAGACTGTTGATAATATGATTTGAAGTTCTTTTGCAGTGTTCAGGTATTTCCACTCCTTGTTGGCTTTCATATTCTGAAAACCTTAACTTATGTTCATCTTAGTGCTCATTATCCCGCATATCTTAGTCCCCTTACATTCTGTTCTTCCATTTTTCCGAAGAATAACAGCTTGAACTAATGCATTTTTGTGCAAATTTCCATGTTGATAATTCAGTCATACAAGAGAATGTCATTGTGTCTTTAATGTATCTGCTACCTATCGTCCTGTTCAGCAATGGTGTCGCTTATGCCCGTATCTTTTCTGATGTTCTTTAGTTAATTTTAGGAGTGTGTTATCAACACCAAAGTTATATCAGATTTGATTGTAACTTCGCTATCCATAATTGATGTTGGCATCTACACGTGTTTTATGCGATTATACGAAAATATAACGTAAAATTTATGCAAATTAACTCTGTTAATGGTGAAATGTTTAAGTGACCTGCTATTCTCTGAGATACTACTTTGACACGTATGAATGGTTTCTATTTATCTTTGGTTCGAAAACCTTTATCTCAGGTTGCTGCATAAACGGGATTCACAAACATCGAGTAGTATTTGGCTTGTGACTTGATTGTAAAACCGGAAAAGTGCTTACTGAGGCTCAGAAATGATTTATTGACACAGTAACTCCATTATGGATAAGACTTTATTTTGATAAATCACACAGTGTTGTACAGTAATATTAACTGTACAACACTGTGATTTATCAAAATAAAATCTTATCCATAATGGAGTTATGCTCTAATACGGTGCCCAAGTTTTATACTTATATCAATTATTGACACTTACATTTTAAGCATTTGCCCTGTCAAATTATGCTGTTATGAGATCCTGTTTTGTCGTTCTTTAAACAGAATGCTTACAGCATATTTAATTATAAATAAAATCTTCGACCCAAGAATTCTTTTTTTCAAAGAAACGAAACCTTCGGAATTATTGGTGTATGTTGTAGCTGGGATAGCATGGACTCACTGACAGTCCTCCTCCATTCAAAACCCAGTTATCACTTTCCCTTTTTTTCTGCTAAGAATTTTAAGCTGATTGAATAAATTTTATTTCTTTTACGAACAAGGTCTTTTCATTGGTCAAATGTTAGTTGATTTTAATACCAGATGTGATTAATTATGGTATCGTCGATTCTTTGCATTCCGTCTTTCCAGACCTAATTGAGGTGTGATGAAGAAAACCAAGAGATCCTTTCCTTTCGTGTTTCACTACTACTTAATAAAATAGCAGTCATTTACATAAACATAGTGTAAATCAAAGTAATGTTGACATGCCTCATTTACATCTTGGCGTTCAGTGACACTTAAAATTAATTTGAGCATGGGAATTGTTCTTTGACAACCGCAATCAGGTAAGGTCAAATGACTGGTCATACTAGGGTGTCAGGTCATTCTTTCTTTCAATAAGAATACACCAATTACGAATTCACAAAAACCTGTTTTTTTAAAATCTAATTTAATTTGACCACGGTATTTTCATGAAGTGTTGTCAGTACTTTATGATCCTTAAAATACAATAGTTCCCAAAAGATCTAGGTAATGTTCTATTGATATCTACTCTCTGTCAAGAATGTAGGCTTTATAAATACTTTAGAAACCACTTCTACTCTTGAAGATATGGCTTATTGCGTGTAACACCACTGGGTCTCGGCATCGAATGCCAATTGTTCTACTTCAGCCTGTGTGACTTTTGACGCAACTGGTGCATGACTCATAGGCTGACACGAAAAAAATCTGTCCCTGGTATTCGGGTTCTAATTAAGTGAATCAGTTTAATTAGTTAAGTACGTTTCTACATTTTCTAGCGTTGCTTTTAATCATTGCAGTGGTATTCCGCATATTTTCGTGAAATTATCTTTCCTTATCTATTTAACTTCTTTAATTTTGTTAGTTGCACAATCATAGTGATCGTATAATTTGGGTTTTTTGGTCAGTTCTAAAATATACCGTATTGTATATCATCACCCTGTTTCTATGACTGTTTCTCTTTCTTTCCAGACTATTATTCTTCGTTGTACCAGCTGACACAACTGAGTTGCACTGGTTACCAGCTACAAGTCCTTGGTGGAAAAGTCTCAGTGGTTTGCTAGTTAATTCGTTGTAATGTTATGGCGTATGAGTCCATAGTTTTGAATACAAACGATGGCAGTGTTTCAGATGAAAACATTCATATTCTAAAGGAAACTGATTACCGTGCGTATCGAACAAGATGGATCGTTGTTATTATCTTCGCACTACTTAGTTGTATGAATGCTTACTTATGGATATCATTTTCTCCAATAGCCAATTACTTCGTCGAGTTTTATTCAACAAGTTATCTTATTCTCAATCTTGTTTCTCTCGTATTTCCATTAATTACTGTCATCCTTGGGATTCCGATTGCTTACAGTATAGATTACCTAGGAATTCGTCTCATTATTTGGGGCACAGCTGCTTGCAATTTAATATGTGGTTGTTTGCGTGCTGTGAGCAGTACGTCACATTTCAACATTTCATCTTCAGTGCGTCTTGCCCTATTTATCTTAGGACAAGTAATAGCATCTTTTGGTCAACCATTTTGCTTGTTTTCTACAACAAGTCTTGCAACTAGTTGGTTCCCAGACAATCAACGTACTACTGGAAACACTATAGCATCTCTTGGTAATGCACTAGGTATAATGTTCTGTAATGCATTCGCTCCTAATTATGTTAAAAAGTCTTCTGATATCGTTAGTTTCAATTACATCTCTCTCGGAATAGTTATTATTCTGTTCTTACTATCCATTACTTTAGTTCGCAGAAGTGAACCTCCTACACCACCTTCTCATGTTGCTACCTTAGTAAAAGCCAGATACCGTGCCTCCGAAAATAGAAACTTTCTCTCATTAAACTCTTTGCTAAGCTTCATTAAAAGTTTTATTCCACTCCTAAAGTTGTATGGATTTTGGATTATTATGCTTACTTTTGGTAGCTGTATCGGATACTTCACAGTTCTCTCAACTTTTTTACAACAAATGCTTTGCACTAAAGGTTACTCCAACCAGTTTGCTGGGCTTTGCGGGTTGATTATGATAGGTGCTGGTTTGATAGCATCTGGCCCCTTTGCTGTATTCGTGGACAGGACAGGATTCCTCATAGAAACACTAAAGGTTTGTAATTTTACGTGTTTTTTATCCTCGTCAAAAATACGTGTATTCTGTGAAATGCTGCGTATCAGTTAATATTGTTCCATGTAGCCAGTTGAAGTGCCCTATAAGTTTCATTTATTCTTAAAACCAGTCGTACTTAAGGGTTGATAAGCTAAACAATCCGATCGTAAATCTTTGCTCTTTCCGAGAATCTCATCAATGCTATCGAATATTTAGGTGACATGACTATCGTCTTTAGATTTCTTGTCTGACTTTATTCTGATTTTGATGTTGAATTTCATCATGACTGATAACATCGACTATATTGTACAAAGATCTGTCTTTTTCAAATTAAAGTGACTCTTTAATAGAGTTTCAATACTTGTTTTGCATATAAAAATTTTGGCTATTATACTTTCATAATGTTTAAACTAAGATATTTTCCATTAGATGAATTAAATACATCCAGAGAAAATTGAAAGATATTTTGAATAATGCAGTGAAAATGAGTTTTACGGATCGAAATGAATTCATCCTACCTCGTAGGGTTTGTATTAGGCGATCGCGCCGTGTATGGTTGAATAGATAATAATGATTATTATTGTTCGTTTCGAGTGAAATATAGAGCTTCAGCGTCTCCTCTCCACCCTACTCTCTTCTTTGCCGTCGTTTTTAGTTGGCTATACAATTGCCCGCAAGCTTTCATTCCCTCTTCACATGATCTCTGTATCATGGTCAAATGCCAAGCCTATTTCTTCCCAGTGGCGTTTCATTCTAGGGCCTGAAGTATGATTTTACTCAATGGTTTTCCAAGAGCATGCTTAGTTCATCTCCATATTTGTTGTTGATAGCTAGTTCAATGACTACCAAAGTTCTTTGCTGCTTATCTTTCCAATATGTCTCTCTGATGCACTCAGTTTTCACTATCTGAGTAATGACACCAGTTGAATAGTCATTTAAATCGTTTCACTTAATATTATTGTGTCTTAGCGTCTTCTCCCGCATATTTTCATTTGCCGCCATCTGTTGTCTGATTGACTCAAGATAGGGTTATAGAAATCTGTTTTGTGTTGCGTGCTCCTAAGATCCAATGATTTCCCTGCCGAACGTCGAATTCCGATGACCTTTTATTGAAGGCAGTTTATATATACCACCATTATTTTAGTTTGCGCAATGTCACCAGATCGCTTTTGCAGAATGAAAGCATCTCGTTCACCTTCGGATTATGGAAGCAGTTGAATGATTACTTTCAAACTAACAATAACCACCAACTTCTCACTTGAACATAAGAAGAAATCCAATCAAAGAATTCGGAAAAACAGAAGAGGAGAATAATTTTGCATTCTATGTGTTCAGCATGCTGAAACACTTAAAATCCCTTTTAATACACAACTAGCGGTTTTCTGAATGGGACTCAGTTTCTCAGGATTATTTATTAATCATTCTAGAACCCAATAATCTTTAGCAATATTATGTCCAATTAGTATGCAGACATTGGTGTCTACACTCAGTTTGAACTTTGAAATTGTCACTTTTCAAGCTGGTACTAGTTAAGCACTACTCGTTTCGGACTTGATACGACTTCCATTAAATGTACCATGAATCATGTAACTGTTTATAGAGCTAAACGACTACGTAATGTATGGTGTCTTCTTAATTTTTTTCAAATATATGGAAGTCTCTTTCCAAGGTTACTTCACTTGACTAAGTGAATTCTGCAGAACCAATATTGAAGAATGCTAGTGTCCAGTAATTTACTTCTGAAACAGTGTTACTAGAACTCTTTCCAAAGCCATTTTTTGAGTGACCTGTAGTCTCATCAGTATTAATTAATTTAGTCCTTAAGATGTAAGCTAAGATGGTTATTACTGATTTTTCTTTCAAATCCACGTTCAACAGCTAGTGATTTCACTGATCCACTGCTTCTGAGAGTGCATTTATAACAATACAGCCTAACTGTAGTACATTGGGCAATTCCTTTTCGACTAATGAAGCCTCTTTCTTATGTCCGTGGGACGAAATTTCTGATGTTTTTCAAGTTAACAATCACTCGGACATCTAGTACCCATTTCACCTTAACAGTTAACAAGCTCACATTTGACTGAAAACAATAACTCCTTTAAATACAGATACAGGCTAACTTCGTATAACTCGTTTATCAACCTTTAGAATCACTGCAGTCTCCTCATATCCTATGAATGCAACATGGACATACTTCCACGTAAAATGAAACGCTGAAAATTCCATGCTGTAAATTGTTATTGTTGTGGAATAAAGTGATTATTATTATTATATTATTATTACTTATGTAGGTCACCAAATAAAAAGTCTCTTTTCTAATATAGTGTTTTGTACTGCTACTTTTATTCATTTAAAGCAGTAATTTTACCCTAGACAAGATAAAATTATCAACATTCATACGTAATAAGCCTCACTTTGCTGGAACCAACATACTATCATTGTTAATAGAATGATTCATCAGCCTTGGCTTTGGCTATCATGCAATTTAGATCGATTCCGTCATAGAGTAAATTTATTTGATAAATCACACAGTGATACAATACTACATACCGATGACGTTTCAAGTACAATTTATTGCTTATAATCATGTCAGTACACTGACATACTTTTCAAATTTCTTTTAATTATTCCATTGCTTCTTATGCTTTGATTTCACTGTCAGTAATACTTTCCATATCTCTGATATTGGTATCGAGTCATTCCTATTGCACCGCTTAGGTGGAGATCGTGAACAAAAATTCGATAGTCAACCCGTCTCTCCAGCCCTAGCTGTATGATTTGTGTGATAATGGATGAATTGTAATTACTGAGTTTTTCTCTAACCTATTCATCTTCGTGAGGTCAGTCACTCTACATTTAGCTAAGTTCTTATGTTCAGGCTTTCTGACTGCTTCCCGATAACACATAATCAGTAAATACTATTGTATCACTGTGCTTTTATGAAATAAATTTACTCCGGGATAGAATTATACTCTACAACACCAACCAAGTTCCATTCCTCTTCTTTAGATATTTTAACACCTGTTGCACCTATGAAGCATTACTTCCGTTGCTTTACTAATATAAAATTGGATGTGTTAAGTTACGTAGAATTGGTGTGTTTTCTACTCGATCATAAGTTGGAGTTCTAGTATGAATGATTCAGTAGACTTGCGAATGACCTTTAAAATCCAGTATTCTGTACTTCGGAGTAAAAAATCATGATTACACATTATTAAGAAATAATAATGTGACAAGTAATCTTGCCAATAAAACTGAGGAAATGCTACAACATTTTTGTGATAGAAAAAAAGTAATCAAATGAGGACCAAGATGAAACAGGAATATTTGTGTTGCTAATTTTAATGCCTATTTTTCGTTTACTTAACTGGAGGAGAGTTTTGAGAATTGATATGGTGGTTCCAGATAATCCAATGGGCTTACTTTTTCGCCTATGATGTTACCACTACTAGTGTTTATGAGGTGTCGACATATTTGACATACTTTTAAAAATTGTTAAATAATTGAACAGTTTTTTGAAAAATATGTCCATTTCTCAGATTATATTCCTCACTTCAAAGTCTGTGAATGAAAAACTGAACAGAGTGATGTCTACGCAGACTTTGGTATTCGGTCACTACCAGCAGATATATCCAAGTTGTGGTAACTAACTATTCATACTATAAATATTTGAATTTTGTTTCCCCCTTAACATTTCTGGGTTGTAGTTTATATCATCTTAGCCGCACTATTAAGTTAGTATAATATCAGATTTTTGTAATGAAACACAAGTGAACTTAAATTTATGTAAGCTCAATGATCTGTTTCGATGCCTGTCAACCATGTACGTGGTCCGGGAGCCGATTCCCGACCAACGACGCATTATCACAGCTGGTAAGTAAGTCTAATGACGAGGAAAGGTTGGGTGCGAGACAAACAAGTCCAGCGCGTAAAAGAAACTTCAAAGCTTAAGCCTAAGACCCTGTTCCATTTGGAATGCAAAGGAATGGAAAATAATCTGCTGTTTTTTTAAATTCTAAAACATTATTTGGTGTATGTTTTTTGCATGCATTGTATAGAGAATTAGTTTCATACTGAAGAAAACCTAATTAGCTTTCCTTAAAGAAATTTCATGCAGTTATTCCTCTTGATAAACTTGAATCAAGTTCTGTGTGTTTCTCTTGCTTTGTTCAAGATCTTTTTTGTATTAACTATTTGAGTATGCTAAGTTATGTGCAGCTAATTTCTCCATGTTTATTACTGGCCAAAGAGATGCCTACTTTCTTGTATTTCATGTGTCAGTCTACTTAGTTTTGTGCACAAGTTATTAGCATTTGCGTATTATGTATTCTCTAATTACAGATTACATTTATACTAAGTGTTCTGGGCTGTGTTGGTCTTAGTATTGTATTATGGTTTCCGTATCAACAAGTTGCCACCACTTTTTGCTTAATTTGTCTTGGCGGCTTCGGATTCGCCCAGTATTCTCTCTCTTTGGAAATGGCTGCTGAGGCTACTTACCCAGTATCGGAGTCGGTGACAACCAGTTTACTTATCATCTCGTCTCAACTAATCGCTTTCATCATGCTGCCAATTATGCAATTTTCCGCTCCCCCAACAGGAAATTCAGCAAGCATAACCTCTACTTGTGGTCCGGACGAAATGATTCAGGTAATAAAATTTTGACGACTGCATTTTCCGTTATTTACGAAGGATATACTTAAACATATTCTTAACATTTAACTCAGTCTTCAGATTAGTCTACAGCCAATAAATACTCTATGGAATCGTGACGCCGATCATATTTTAATGGGAATGCTTCTAAAATTCCTTGAAGAGTAAAGTAGCAGTCTTATAATAGACAATTGTCACTGCAGATATAGATAACAAATACAACCAATGTTGTACACTAATCAGTGAATTTTTAGCGTTATAATTGAAAGTAATTTGAAAATTTGTTTCGTCACCCAATCAGGCGTTAATTATTGTATCAGCACAGAAAGGATACTGCTCACTATTAGTATATAATCCTGATATCCTTGCCAAAAACAAATTGATACAAGACGATTCACAGTAAGTTGTTGCTTACTCACTGAGTTCAAACCGTGCAATTTCCTGTTTCTTGAACAGCTAAAGACTAGGTCATTGTTCATACAAAATCACATTCTGATACTATTATTCTAAATCATAAATCTGTTACTACTTCCAAATGAGCAATTTTCATTGCATTCAACTGACTTATTTTTTAACGACTTTACAGCTGAATCCCACATCCGAATCTTGTACACCTAATTTAGTGGTTATTTGTTACAATCGTAAGATAAAACCGAAGGTGTTTTTGACAGAAACTAAGCGAATCTTCTGTATGTGTGCCAAGATTTTGCTAAATACCAACTCATCAAGGCTCATACAAGTTATCAAGTTGCCGCAAAAACTCAGTACTTGTAAAAAACTGATCAGCGAACACAGAATATTCTTTTCGATAATTTTTCTATCAGATTCCATAGTTATATATTTATCCATGATAGTTATGGAATAATTGTTATTGACAACCGTTAACATCAAATCATCTAGATCAATAGATCAGAGTTCAAAATATATATTTAAAATGTACGTTGTAATATGGTATTTATGAATTTATAGATCCTACAACAAGTCAGTTTAGCAAGAGTAGCTGGACACTTGTATCTTTTGTACACAAAATCTCAGCTGCTTTAAACGAATTGCTATATCTTCTGCTATGTTGAAGTATTCAGTACCTAATGGCTTTAGTCAGCTTATTTGGCATACGATAGACGACAAGGAAGGACTCTTCTATGCTGGCTTTATGATCCGTTTAGAACGGGTGTTCTAATATCGAACTGCTAATGCCTTTTTGTAGCCGTGCTGGTAGGTATTCACGAATACGTAAAATGGGCTGTTACTCTACAAACCTAAATTTTCAGGCACCTTTAAAAGTCAACTTCCAGGGTGTAGACAGTCGGAAATCGATAACAGTCGAAACACTTTGATAAACATAGCAGGCTTTTCTTACCTTCATCCTTCTGACATTACTATTCCTTAACTCTGTGACTGGTGGCAAACAAGTGAGCCAGAAAAAACACTGCCCCTAGTCTCTTAAAACCACACTACTAACTTCACTTTGAAGCGTCCAACTTCTGAATACTATGCTGAATCGGATATCAGAGATTGCTTACCAGAGCTGTGGCTTTTTAAGGTTTGGATGCATACCGTGCCTCTGAGACCCAGAGTCACAACGCAAGTGTGGTTATTCATTGGGCTTGTCCTGGTCAGCGTGGTGAATATGCAAAATTCATCGTTTGCGTGTCAGAAGATTATTCGGCTAGTTCGTGCAAACTGTTTGGCGTAAGAATAGCACTGAGTCTTAGAACATACAACAGGTTATTTGGTTGACACCAACTGGACAGTTATGTGCGCTATCCGGCTGAACGGATCTGTAAAAAGGATGAAAGGTAATGATATTCTTTGACGCCTTGTCATAATCTCCGATAGTTTTTGAGGAGGCTAAGAGGTGCTCGGGAAGGATGAACCCGTGGGAAGCCTGCTCGAAGGTGAGCTGGAAGCCTGAGTGAGTGTGCATTGATCATGTCCTCATCCTCCGACAAGTTTTTCAACATAGAACTGCTTATTAGAATTCGATACTCACTATATATTTTTGATTTGGTGTCGAAATTGGATTCGGTCGATCGAGAGGTGTTGTAGTGATTTTCGTCTATGAAGAGAGTGATTCGAAGGTATATTGTATTAAAAAGAGAATTGTACTCTAACTGGTTGAGTCGTATTAGAGCTTGTTCGGAGTTTCTATTTGAAGTGTCTTTAAACAGTAGTGTTTTTCAGAGATGTTCACTATCACTATTTATAATTTCATTATTGGATATGAGCCTTTCTGTCGATGGTGCCCCAGGTGTTGATATTTTACCTGGACAATTTTGTTGCTTTGTATTATGCAGATATTGTTCTTTCAGGTGAACACGTTGACAAAATACATACTCTGTGAACAATCTGAGTGTGTTTGTCATCTCATCTCCATCAAATGTAAGATAATGATGCAGTTGTTTTTTGTCTAGGGATCGATGGTGGAGTGTTTGAGGGTGTTAACCACTCCACTTATTTGTGAGGTTGTTTCGATTGTGATGGTTTGCTTTTTGACGAAATGTAAGCTTGGATAGAAAATACCCGTTTTGCATTTGTTGACTATTCAGCATTTCTCCCTGTTCAGTCGTTCAGCGGCGTGACATGGCTATTAAAAGTGAGAATTACAAAGATACCAGAGGCTTCTGTTTATAAGTGCCTCTATCCACTCTCATATTTTATGTTTGAGCAGCTGCACCCAATGGGTGTTGATTTTCGGTGTCATGGATTTACATCTTGTTATTATTTAGAACCCGAGAATTTTTACTAGTCGTGAATTAGTTGTTACCATTCCTAGGGATTTTGATCCATCTTTGTTTCAATGTGTTCCTTTACTCTACCTTTATTGTGTGCTTTTCAGATTTTCGACAACAAATTTTTTGCAAAACTCTACGTTGAAAATACGATCCTTCGATTATGACTCCTATGATGTGAATTTTGTTTATGCAACGTCCTAGTTATGAAGGATAATAAAATAACTAAATTTGGTTATGTTATCCATTTCTCAGAAGTGCGATTGAGATCTTATCGTTTTAGGTATAGGAACCCATTGTGTGATGTGGCCTAGGTTTTGGTTGATGAAAGATTCAGTACTAACCTTACAGTATGATTTTAATAGACTAAGAATAGAATTTCTCTGACTAAAGTCTTTAGCAATGGGGGAAGAGATACAAAAAATCCCGTTAACACATTGGATTTGAAATTTTACTGCAGTGGAAATGCTGTATAATGAAAGAAGAACTATCAGTGCTTATTGAAGTTTTTGTCCGCATCGTAGATGTTAGTTTCCGTTTAGATTCGGTCATGGTTTCGCATGACTTCAAGGCCGAGAAAATATGTTCCAGATGCCAGTCACAAGTCATATGTTCTAAAGTGAAGTTTTCTTCATTTGAGCTGCTTTATGTTCAGGTACATTTCACTGTACTTTCGCCTAGTCGCATGTGCAGTTTTCGTGGCCGAGACTCTTTCACATCTCTCTGCACAACAAAAAGGTAATCTAGCAGGTTCATTGACTAACTTACTGACTTTTCAGCTCAGCACAACATTTCTAATAAGAATTAAGGATTTAAAGGGATCATAATGAACAGGAATGTACAGGAGAAAGATTAATTACACAGATAATAATGAGAATTTAACGAATTTGGGAGATTACAAAGAGCTGATGCGTATATATAATCATATAATATCTAGAGCATTATTGTTTTGTTTTAGCACTATGCAGATTGTCATAAGTGAGTTCGCTTCATTTGCGAATTTATTTCAGATGTCTATCTGCTATTGAAGTTTGTTTTGAAGGCTGGAAACGTCTGACCATATGAACCTTAATTCATATTTACTTCTGATGATGCAAATGTGGTTGTCTGATCTTGAGTGTTAAGCAAGCTTTCAATGGAATTTGGCTTTCTACACTGACAGTCATTCGTCAGGATACCCAATACCTTGATTTCAGGCTTGCTGTACCTAATGATCAAAATACGTATATACGGGGTAAATAATAAACACACGTCATTTTTCATAGGTACTTTTCAATACGTTTAGAACAACGCTTATCAGGTGAAGTTCACTTAATGTAGAGGACAGAAAAAGCGCAGTCGTATTTCTCTTTTGTACGTTAATTTAAATCTATCAGATAAAGAATGCATGAGTGTGTTGTTTTCTTTCACTTGCATTTTTCTCATGGATGTAAAATCCTAATTCGCAGAGAAAACCCCAACTTCAAAAACAAGAGTGAACAGAAACTTATTTGTCGATTCTGGTTATGATGTTTACTCATATTTGCTAAACTCACAACTACGACGTAACTTGACACCAAAAATTTTTTGTTTGCAGAGGTATTTGTGGTCATTGTGAAGTTTCAAATTTCTAGGTTTTACTAGCATGTCTACATTTACAAATTCGAAACATTTGTTTTTATTGTTTGTCTCCTTTGTTATAGAATTTCAATCCACCAAATATGGGTCTGGTTGCTTTCTTAGTCCTACTTTCGATCATACAGCTTTTCACGCTAAGATTACCGTACAACCGACGAAATTATTTCAGTTCCTTGAAAGAAACTGTTGAGTCTGAAAATTATCCCGGTATGGATAATCACGAAAATCCTGGTGAATAATAATTTGAATTATTACTCTCAAGACTTCATCTTCTGCATAAATGCCTCTCTTCTGTTAACTCATTTGACACACTTTTGGTATTTCTTTTACCTGATTTATTCCTAATAAGAATTTACTTTCATATTTTTGTACCAGTTTTCACATACATTCGTTATAAAATGAGTGTTTTTTGTACCTTATTGATTACACTCCTAGATTTTTACTGTTTTATATGCATAAAATCATGCCTCAAATAAATTCTTATATTATGACAAAACGTGCCTTGTCTAATTAAGGTGACATAACTACGAACAACTAATTGTATTTCAGATATGATCCAGTATTGCGGTTCTTATCGTTAGTTCTGCGTACAATGAATTGTCTGACACCTACCACGAGGTTAGTATATGATTAGTCTGTCTAAACGTTAGAAAACTCTATTCCAAATCAGTAAAGCACATGCAGCCAAATTAAGGTGAATGATTTATGAACCTGATCTGGTCACTAGCGGTCGTGGGTCGTCCACTTCCTGATATTATAATGCTAACTTGTGGATAACAACACAGCGTAGAGACTCGTTGAGTGATAACTACATAACATTTAGATGGATTTAGTTTAAGACCATCTAATTGAAACCATTTGTGAACTTCAGACGAGAATTTATTAATATCAGAACAATTCAAAGCAGAAACTACTGAGACAGAAATGGTTAGCTCATCGGCATACTTAACGAAGTTAGCTTTGGAAGAATATGGAAGGTCATGCAAAAAGAAAAAAAGGAATGCAGAGAGTATAGTGCCTTGAGGCACAAAGAAATGGAGCGCTGTTCTTTCAAAACTGTATGTTGTTTTCTACCCGAAAAATAAGGAGACAGCCACCTTATGACCCAACTGGACTCATTGTTTGCTGATATTTGCTTGCGTAGTAGAAGTGTCCTAATAATGAAGTCAAAAGCAGCTGCGTGTAGTCTACAAAGGAGACTCGAACAAACTTTGCACCCTTATCAAGACTTGAAACAATATTGTAGTGGAGTACAACGACAGCATCTGATGTGCTTCTACTGCATCTGTAAGCAAACTGCTTCGGTTCACTAGAAGATTTCACGGGAGGTTTAGGAACACGCAGTATGATTTGCTGGGAATCCCGTAAATTCACACTTGTGAGCAGACCCGGTGTACTTCATCACTCCTTAAAAACTGAAGTTTCCATATGTAGGGAAATGAAGCCTTGTGAAACTGAGAAGTATCAGGGACAAGTAGTCTCCTCCTTTGTGACGATATTCACCTTGCGTTATCAAAGGTGGAATTATCTGATTTTGACAAATGAAATACATATTTGTTTCAAGAAGTGGAAGGGTTGACGACTGCTGTTCGGCTGACCTGATGTGGGCATACGAGAGCCACACCTATTTGTGGGACAGCACTCTTTTGCTAAAGCTTCTGAGTTTGAACGAAGGTAGAAATTGCCTGACAGCCAGCACTTGAATGAAAAATGTTCCATGGCCTCTTTTCATGTTTATCTCATGTACCTAAGGACTACCATTCCTTAACAACTAACACACACTTTAACTATTTATTAGATCGAACCAGTATGAAATTTCATAACTATAACTTAACTTTTTCGGTAAAAAGTGAACTATGCATTCATCATTGTTCATTTTACATCTTTAATTCTTGTTGACTACTTCTGAAATGTAGCACTTGAGGTAAAACGTTCAACGTTTTATATGATTCCAAGGAAAATGAATTAGATACACGAATCCCTATCACCTGGCCCAGGCACAGCTTTTTAAGTAATGATTAGAAAGTCTCGGGGTATAATGATAATTTAATCCTGGAGTTACCTTCAGAAGTGATTCGATTATCAATGATACGGTGAGTGAAGTTGAGACAGCAACCTAATAAGGTTGACCTTTCGAAGTTTATTTGTCTGCCGGGAAAAAACTTGTAAGGATTGAGGAATTTTCCGTAAAAACCAATTTCCTATCGCTTTCTTTTAAAAACAGGAATGGCATTAGTTAGCGGTGGCTATATATTGGCTTACAGATGCTCAAGAGCACAAAGGAATAACTGTAATTTATATTTCGTATAAACAGGTAAGTAAGCAAAAAATGCGACCGATTTTTACAGGCACAACCAGACATGGTATAAATTACAATCGGGAAATATCAATAAATTAGCAAGCGGGCACAACAGATAGTGTTGATGTAAACCCTGAGGAGATTTGCTGATGGTGTATGTTGCATACCAGAGACCTGCATACTTTATTTAAGTAAATTGATTCGAATAACTTCCCTATCTTCCAATTTAAAATACATGTTTCATCTGTACTCATTCATGAAACCCGTAGCACTGGCGTCCAGGATAACTTGTATTGATGTCGTTTTAGGGGAAAGATCGAGATTTCTTGACCTGATAACCACTAACTGTCATTTATGCGTTGTTAAATATATAAGCAAATGACAAGAAGGACATCTTTTCGCCATCCTGTTCGATATGTTGCAGTTTGCGTGCAACTGATGATGTGTTTTGTCAACTAAGTGCTAGCTAATGACTAGAATGTACAGATCGTGTGTCTGCTAATAAGAAAGCCATTTAGCCGACCCACTGGGACTAGATGTCTCCATCATGGATAAGATTTTATTTTGATAAATTACACAGTGTTGCACAGTAATATTAACTGATGATGTTTCGAGCACAAATTATTGCTCATAATCATATCAAGTTACTCACACAACTTTTTCCTTCATTTATATATATGTATGGAATTGACTAGATATTTGAATAAAAATCAATATGAGATAATGTACATTCAGATTTGTGAATTTTGATTTTGCCTTCTTTTGATTTTTTCGGGTTAATGCACATTTTGCTCGAACCTCTTCATCTGTTATGTAATCTATTTAACCTCAAGCTACTTCTATGTTAGGAATGACATCCTCCGAAATAGAAGCTCTAATTAGTCTAAAACATGATAGGAACATTTTCATCGCAAAAGCTGCCAAAGGAAACTCCGCCATAGTTTTAGATAAATCGGACAACATCAAAAATATCACTGAACATATTACGACGGGTCCATATGAGGAAATTAAGAAGGCTGTGGTTACAATCATGAATAACGTTAAGAAATATACAATGGAATTAATACGTAGAATGAAGCCGTCTCTGGGTGAGTCTAAATGTTTTAATTTAATGCCTAAAACTAATAATGCTAGTAGAATGTATGGTACTGTGAAAATACATAAACCAGGTTACCCCATACGACCAATAGTAGATTTCAGAAATACCCCTACTGATGAATTATCAGAACACTTAGCTCTAATATTATGCCTCATTAGAAATCGTTCAATATCTAGACTAACTAATTCATATAAAATGAAAAATAAACTAAGTGACATTCAACTAGACAATGATGAAACAATGGTTAGTTTTGATATAACTGGTCTTTATACCAATATACCAATCAATATGGCCTTAGAAGCAGTTAAAAAAGAACTAACTGCAGATATTGAACTCACTCATAGGACAAAGTTGCCCATTGAAGAAATTATTTTAGGAATTCAGTTATGTCTCACATCTACTATCTTTAAATTCCAAGGCAAAATATATAGACAAACTGAAGGTGTAGCAATGGGATCACCAATATCCCCTATCGTGGCAGATATATTTCTGGATAGCTGGGAAAATATGGCACTTAATACGTTTAATCCTACTCCAAAAATATAGTGGAGATATGTGGATGACACTTTCACAGTGTTAAAAACAGAACATATCTCCAGTTTCTTGACACATATAAACTCACTAGTGGAGGGAATAAAATTCACATTTGAAACCGAAAATGAGCAAGGAGAATTAGCTATGTAAGATTGTAAAATAAAGCTAATAGAAGAAGATAAACTACACACTAGCGTTTATAAAAAACTTATAGATATTTAAACTTTAATTCATCTCATCCGTTAACTGTTAAGGCAGGCTTAGTTAAGTGTTTAAGAAACCCAGCAGTAGCTCTAAGTAGCACAAGCAAAGACCTAAATGATGAAATAAAACAGATAGAAAAGGCGTTGGTGTTAAATAACTATCCCATAAAATTCATTAGGAGGATTGGAAAACGCCAAAAGAAAAATAAAAAGAATTGTGAAACTAGTAATAATAACATAAATAAGAGAGAATATAAGTCATCTACAGTTATACCATATAAAGAGGGGACATCTGAGACCCTACGTAGGATTCTAAATAAAGCAGGAATTAGGGTGGCATTTAAACCTACAAACTCACTCAGGGACAAGCTCTGTAGGTTAAAGGACCCAGTGGACCCAATTAGACAAAATAATATAATTTACAAAATACCCTGCAATGACTGTGAGGTCAACTACATAGGTCAAACTAGTAGGTCAGGGGTAGTCAGATTGTCAGAACATAAGAATTTAGCTAAGATAAGAATGGTTGACCCAGAGAAGATGAGTAGTTTAGAAAAAAGCTCTGCAATTGCGCTACATGCAATAACACACAACCACACAATAGGGTGGGAGAGGGTTAAGATTCTAAGAAGTAATCTATGTAGGTGGAGAGAGAGATTGATTACTGAATCCTGGTTCATTGGATCTACACCCAACACATGCAACAGAAATGACTCAATGCAAATACCAGAAATATGGAAGATATTATTACCACCAGTCAAATCAGAAGAGGATAATAAGTAATCTCAAAATTCTATTTCAATCAAGCACATCACAACATCCTAACAAGTTACTTATTATGACTATAAAAACACTCGTCTTATTTCCCATCTGATTGTAATTGATCAACAACACTCATATTATTACCACCAGTCAAATCAGTTTGCAGTTTACAATTTATTTAGGATATTAGGCTATATGCCTGTGTTAATCCTTTCGATTTGTTACACACAGGAGGTCCAATCTCGCCTTGAATGAATCAACGGATGGCGCTGATACGACGTGTTCCGGTAGGGAGTTCCAATGGTTCACAATTCGATGCGAAAAACTGATCTCCAGACGCAGACGATTCGACCGTGGTTTTTGAAGCTTGGGGTGATGTCCTCGCAATTGGTTGGTGCTAGAAGGAAGAAATAAATTAGATACAATAGCTCCAAAATCATTTCTTAGGATACGGTATGATAGCGTTAGGTCACCCCTAAGTCGTATATATGATAGTGGAAATAAACCCAGTCAACTTAACCTCTCCTCATATGAAAGGGTTGAGAAACCCTTTATTAGCTTAGTTCCTACTCTTTGCATCCTTTCTAATAAGTCTATTTCGTATTTGAAACACGGGCTCGCTGCCTGGATCCCATATTCCAAATGAGGTCTGATATAAGTCGGATATAATATACGAAATACATCAGCATAAAAGTTCGCAAAAGCCTTGCGTATGGCCCATAATATTCGAAAACCCTTAGTGGCTGCAGCT